TGGGCACACTCAGATCCCAGCTGTCATTTCCTATTCTCCCGCCATCAGAAAGCGTCTTTGGGGTGACCTAAAATGACCTGGAAGGCAGTGGCCTGCATGGCTAGTCCAGGGCCTCAGTAGTACAGGCAGGTTGTCTGGTTGTGGCTAAACATAGGGTGATCCACACTGGCCAGCACACATTAGTGAACGCTCAGAGAGAGTGGAGAAGCCTCAAGCGCAGGAGTATCAAGATATTCTTTTTCGGGACTCACGTATCTGCATTCTGGACCAAATGCCCTTTTCCCACATAATGTCTGAAAAGACAGCTTTGGAAAGTCAGGCAAACGAAAAGGATTTAATGAAGTATGTGGAGAACAGAAAAAATCATGCACCCCGGGCACACTCTACGCCCCAAACTCATTTCCTCTATTCCCTGGTATGGAAAGCATATTTGGGTCAACAAAAAATGACCTGGAAGGGGGCAGCCTGCATGGCTAGCCAAAGGCCTCAGCAGTACAAGGCAGGATATCTGGTCATTGTTAATCCTAGGGTAACCCACAGTGGCCAGAACACATTGGTGAATGCTCAGAGGGAGTGGAGAAGCTTCCAGCACAGGAGTATCCAAGTATTCTTCTTTGGGACCCATGAATCTGCACTCTGGACCAAATGCCCTTTTCCCACATAATGTCTGAAAAGACAGCTTTGGAAAGTCAAGCAAACGAAAAGGATTTCATGAAGTATGTTGGGAACAAAAAGTAGCCAGGCACCAGGGCACACTCTGTGCCCAGCTGTCATTTCCTTTATTCCCCGGGCAAGGAAGCATCATTGGGCAACCAAAAATGACCTGGAAGGGGACGACCTGCATGGCTAGCCAAGGGCCTCAGCAGTACAAGGCAGGATATCTGGTCATTGTAAACCTAGGGTGACCCACAGTGGCCAGCACACATTAGTGAATGCTCAGAGGGAGTGGAGAAGCCTCCAGCAAAGGAGCATCCTGTGTCCTTTTTTTGAGAAACTTCTTAATTTATGGATCAAACTCTCTTTTGCAATATAATGTCTAAAAAGACAGCTTTGGAAAGTCAAGCAAACGAAAAGGATTTAGTGAAGTATGTGGGAAACACAAAGTAGCCAGGAACCATGGGCACACTCAGCTCCCAGCTGTCATATCCTCTTTTCCCGCCATCAGAAAGCGTCTTTGGGGTGACCTAAAATGACCTGGAAGGCAGTGGCCTGCATGGCTAGTCCAGGGCCTCAGCAGTACAAGGCAGGTCGTCTGGTTGTTGCTAAACATAGGGGGAGAAACATTGGCAGGCACACTTTGGTGAATGCTCAGAAGGAGTGGAGAAGCCTCCAGCCCAGGAGTGTCCAAGTATTCTTCTTTGGGATACACGAATCTGCACTCTGGACCAAATGCCCTTTTCCCACATAATGTCTGAAAAGACAGCTTTGGAAAGTCAAGCAAACGAAAAGGATTTAATGAAGTATGTGGGGAACAGAAAGTAGCCAGGCACCCTGGGCACACTCAGATCCCAGCTGTCATTTCCTCTTTTCCCGCCATCAGAAAGCGTCCTTGGGGTGACCTAAAATGACCTGGAAGGCAGTGGCCTGCATGGCTAGTCCAGGGCCTCAGCAGTACAAGGTAGGTCGTCTGGTTGTTGCTAAACGTAGGGGGAGCAACATTGGCAGGCACACTTTGGTGAATGCTCAGAGGGAGTGGAAAAGCCTCCAGCACAGGAGTATCCAGGTATTCTTTTTCGGGACACCTGAATCTGCACTCTGGACCAAATGCCCTTTTCCTACATAATGTCTGAAAAGACAGCTTTGGAAAGTCAAGCAAATGAAAAGGATTTCATGAAGTATGTGGGCACCCCTGGCACACTAGTGGCCCTTCTGTCATTTCCTCTTTTCCCTACATCAGAAAGCGTCATTGGGGCGGCCAAAAGTGACCTGGAAGGGAGGAGGGGCGGGCCTGGATGGCTAGTCCATGGCCTCAACAGTACAAGGCAGGATATCTGGTCATTGTTAACTCTAGGTTGACCCACAGTGGCCAGCACACATTGGTGAACGCTCAGAGGGAGTGGAGAAGCCTCCAGCACAGGAGTACCCAGGTATTCTTCTTTGGGACCCATGAATCTGCACTCTGGACCAAATTCCCTTTTCCCACATAATGTCTGAAAAGACAGCTTTGGAAAGTCAAGCAAACGAAAAGGATTTCATGAAGTATGTGGGAAACAGAAAGTAGCCAGGCACCGGGCACACTCTGTTCCCAGCTGTCATTTCCTCCATTCCCCTGGTAAGGAAGCAGCATTGGGCAAACAAAAATGACCTGGATGGAGCCAGACTGCAGGGCTAGTCCAGGGCCTCAGTTGTATAATTCAAGTAACCTGTCATTGCTAAACCTAAGGTGAACCATAGTGACCAGCACACATTGGTGAATGCTCAGAAGGAGTGGAGAAGGCTCCCGCAAATAGTATACTGTGTTCAATTTTGGGAAACCTGACTCTTAAGGATTTCACCCCCTAAAAGGACTGGGGAAGAAATCAGCAAAGGAGGCGTTCGTCTATCCCAATATCCACTCAAAAGGGAGGCATGGATTAGTTTATCAAAATTTTCAAGAGGTGTCTTGATCATGTCTCCGACCCAGCATACAGCAGCTAAAATGACCAGGCTTGCAGATATTCCTGTCTGGGTTAATCAATGGCCCCCATTAGAAGAGAAGTTAAAAGCTGTAGAAGAATTGGTGTGAGTACAACTTGAGGCGCATATTGAACCCACTCACAGTCCATGCAATACACCTATATTTGTAATATAGAAGAAATCTGCTAAATGGAGACTATTATAAGACCTGAGAACAATTAATAAAACCATGAAGATTACGAGGCCCCTTTAGTCGGGGTTACCATCCCCTACAGGCATCCAATTGAAATATCACATAGGTATTAGAGATCTTAAGGCAAAAGTCCTTCAAAACCCTTATATTTCTTACAATAAGAAATGTAAGATCTTATTTATGCTTTGACTGATTTTGCTATGGAGCACATCAACCTATACTGTGATAGTGCTTATGTGGTAGGTATGGCAAAAATTATTAAAACAGCTACTATAGGGCACACTAATATGGAGGAACTCTTTCATTTATTTTTTCAGCCTTCAAAAGGCCATTAGAGAACAATTTCCCTACTTTATCGGTCATATCTGATCCCATTCAGGTCTCCCTGTTCCGTCAGCTATAGGGAATGAGGATATTGATCGCCTCCTTGCAGTAATGCAAGAGGCTACCGTATGTTTGCTTGACCAGTGCTTCCATGCTTTGCATCAAAATGCTGCTGCCTTGCACAAACAGTTCCATATTTCTCCTGAGCAAGATCTCAAATTGTTAAGAAGTGCCCTCAGTGTGTGGTTCACTGCCCAGTACGATCTTTAGGGCCTAATCCTAGGGGTGTTAAAGCTAAATAAGTCTGACAAATTGATATCCTTGCTTAGCCGCATTTGATTACTAGGACTGCCTTAGAGCTAAAAACAAACAATGGACCCGCATATGACAGAAACCAGTTCCAGCATGTCATAATTGCAAGAGTTTCATCAAAAGGTTGATGGAATATGGGGACTCAACAAGGGGTGAGTCACATATGTTATCTCCTGCTGGAAAGGCTAAAAGACCCCCAATGCCTTTCAAAATTATCTTTTTGTTTCTGGACTCCAATGTAATCTACGCACAGCCTTTCTACAGATTGCCCAAACAAGAATAGATAGGATGACTGTTTGCTGCCAGATATCTCAGGGCATCTTAATCTACAAATTATTGCCTCCTGCTGGCCAAACACTGCAATAGCCATAGGCTATTCCTCAATATGACAATGCTTCTGTACTCTACCCTTTGAAGTGTATTATCTCCAACTTGCCTTAGGACAAATTGTGTTAATAAAAAGCAAGGGTACTTAGAAAAGGAGAATTTAGCTCATTTAGCTAAAGCTCCTCTGACCCTCAATGCCTTTCAAAATTATCTTTTGTCTCTGGACTCCAATGTAATCTACACACAGCCTTTCTACAGATTGCTGAAACTTTCTTAATGCTAGAAAAAGAAGCCCCAGGCAGACATATAGTAGTTCTGCTTTTCAGCACTTTTGTCAGCAATATTAAATTTGTCACAAAACTGATATCCCTTACAACACTCAAGGTCAAGCAATAGTTGAAAGAGCTTATCCTACTCTTAAAATGCAATAAAAAAGGGGGGAAGAGAAAGATGTTAGGTGTCACCTCAAAAAAAACTCAGTCATACTCTTCATACTTTAAATTTTTTCCAGAGGGCCATACAGTGGAAAATAAGGTTATAGTATCCATAATATACAAAGAACTCTTAAAAGTTCCACAATCAAAAGACCACCATATTAGCTCTAACTTGTGTGGCTTGGGTGGCTATACACTAAAGGGTTGCTGGTTCAATTCCCAGTCAGGGCACAAGCCTGGTTGCAGGCTTGATCCCTGGTAGTGGGCATGCAGGAAGCAGCCCATTGATGTTTCTCTCTCCCCCTCTCCCTTCCTCTCTCTAAAAGTCAATTAATAATCTTTTTTTAAAAGACAACCAAATTAAATAATGGAAAACATGAATAGACATTTCTCCCAAGAAGATATACAAATGGCCAAAATGCACATGAAAAAGATGCTCAAAAGGTGCTAAACATCATCAGTTATTAAACAAATGCAAATCAAAACCACAATGAGATACCACTGCATAACCACCAGGACATTAACAAGTGTTGCAGAGGGTTTGGAGAAATCAGAATCCTTGTACATCGCCAGCATGTAATGGTTCAGCTGCTGTGGCAAACACTTTGACAAGCCCTCAAAATGTCAAGCACAGTTACCTTGTTATCCAGAAATTCCAGTATAGGTATATATACCCAAGAGAACTGAAAACATATGTTCACATAAAAACTTATCTCCAAAGGTTCATAGGAGCATTATTCATAACAACAAACTAGACGTCCAAATATCTATCAGCTCATAAATGGGTAAACAAAACGCAGTATAGCATTACAGTGGAATATTATGCACCTACAAAAAAGAATGCAGGCAGAGTACAGAAGATTTTTAGTGTAGTAAAAGCATTCTGTATGATATTATAATGATGGATATACAGGGTGGGGGGAAAGTAGGTTCACATTTATGAATATGCAAAACAGTTTATTCTTGTATTATTGTTAACTATTGTTTTCTCAAAGGAACAACTGTAAACCCACTTTTGCCCAACGCTGAATACCAGTATATATTCATCCAAACTTATTCCCACAATATCAAAAGTGAACCCTAAGGTAAACCATGGACTTTGGGTGACAATGATGTGCCAATGTAGGTTCATCCCTGGTTAAAAATGTACCCCTCTGGTTAGTGATGCCGACAATGAAAGCGGCTATGCATGTGTGAGGGCAGCAGGTTATGTGAGGTCTCTATACCTTCCTCTAGATTTTGATATAAACCTAGAACTGTTTTTAAAAAGAGTCTTTCTTTTACAGGAATAAGTGACTGACCTGTCCTGCAACACAGATAAACCTTGAAAACATTGTGATATCTAAAAGAAGTCATTCAAAAAAAACCACATATTGTTCCTGGCTGGTGTGGCTCAGTGGTTGAGTGTCTACCCAGGTCCCAGGAGGTCATGTCTCCATTCCTAGTTAGGGCACTGCCTAGTTTTCAGGCTTGATCCCCAGTTGGGAACATGCAGGAGGCAGCCGATCAATCATTCTTTCTCATCACTGATGTTTCTAGCTCTCTCTCCCTCTCCCTTCTTCTCTCTGAAATCAATAAAAATGTATTTTTTAAAAACCATATGTTCTGTTTCCATTTATAGCATATGTCAGCAATAAACAAATCCTTACAGTCAGAGAGTAAATTAACAGTTGCTAGGTGATGGGCAGTAGAGAGAAATAAGGGTGACTACTACGAGGCATGGCATATCATTTTGAGGGGATGGAAATATTCTGGAATCAGACAGTGGCAATGGTCGTATAACAAGGAATGTGCTAAATATCACTGAACTGTACACTCTAATATGCTGACAGTTATGTATATGAATTGTGTTTCAAAAAAAAAAACCCTTCAAACTTAGGCAGTAACGAACATTTTCAAACTCACTGTTCGTGTGGGTCATGAATTCACGAAGAAGGGAGCTCGGTGGCTCTGGCCCAGGATGTCACATGAGGCTTCAGCTGAGATGTCACTGGGGCTGCAGTCATCAGACCTGACTGGAGCTGCAGGACCCGGTTCAAAGAGGTGCAGTCACAACAAGGCTGGCGAGCTGGTGCTGGCACTTCCTGGGAGGACTCAGTGTCTTCCCACCGGGGCTTCTCCAGGAACGGCTTGGGCGTCCTTATGACTTAGTAGAGGACTTCTAGAATGAGAGACAAATGTTGCTACCTCAAGCACATGACAAAAAGGTTTCAGAAAGCTGTGTCTCCTTGTAGGTTGAGGATCACAGGAACTAGCATCTGACTCACACAAGTCAAGTCTACAGACTGGAGTTGGAACTGTCTGTGGCAGAAGGGACAATAAAATGATAGCCTTAGATGGAAACTGAACTGCCAGAAAATGCAGAAAAATATGTGTTTCTGGTGAGTAGGTAAGGACCCCGCAAAAAACAGTAGGCTGAGATTGTCATAAAAGGAAAAACAGCCACGCAGGCCACCAAGGGAAGCAGAAGAACCTTGTACAGGGGTGGGTCACAAAAGGCCTAGGGACTGGGAGGTGGGGGAGTATGACGACCACTGCGAGGGCCTAAAAGCATATGTTCATATAAAAACTTGTATAAAAACTCGGGCATAAAGAATCAGAAAACCTGAATAGGCTGAAAACAACTGATGAAACTGAAGCAGTAACCACAAAACTCCAAGCAGACCAAAGTCCTGATCCCAATGGCTTCACGGGGGACTTTTACCAACCATTCAAAAGAGAAGTAACACCTATCCTCCTCAAACTATTCCAGGCAATTCCAGAGGGAGGAACACTTCCAAGCTCTTTTCCCAGGCTAGCATTATCCTAATTCTAAAACCAGAAGACATTACAAAGAAATGGAATTATGGTAAAGGCCATATCCCTGATGAGCATAGATGCAAAAATCCTCATCAAAATATTAGCAAATCAGATCCAGCAATATATTAAAAAGATCATACACCATGACCAAGTGGGATTTATTACACGAATGCAAGGCTGGCACAATATTTGCAAATCAATAAATGTGACACATCACATAAACAAACCGAAAAAACAGAACACATGATAATATCAGTAGAGCCAGAAAAACATTCGATAAAATGCAACACCCATGTTTCATTTAAAAAAAGTTCTCAGTGCCCTGACTGGTTTGGCTCAGTGGATACAGAGTCAACCTGCGCACTGAAGGGTCCCAGGTCGATTCCGGTCAAGGGCATGTACCTTGATTGGGGGATCATTCCCACAGGGGGGTGCAGGAGGCAGCTGATCAGTGTTTCTCTCTCATCGAAGTTTCTAACTCTCTATCCCTCTCCTTTCCTCTCTTTAAAAAAAACCAATAAAATATATTTTTAAACTGTTTAAAATCCTACCTAATAAGAAATATGCTAACTGACCATCATTCCATCCAAAAGATGGCTGCACTCACAGCTGAGGCCAAGGTCCCATAGGAGCCTTAAAGAGCAATCAGCAGAGACCTGAAGCTACACCCTCCCCCACCCCGTGGGGCTTGAAGGTGGACCTCAGGCCATGACCCCACTCGGCAGGGCTTGACAGGGGGCCTCAAGATGTGCTTCCCACCCTAGCCAGTTTGGCTCCGTGGACAGAGCATTGACTTGGGAACTGAAAGATCCCAGGTTCGATTCCAGTCAAGGGCATGTGCCTGGGTTGTGGTCTAGAGCGCCTGAAGACGCCCATCAGACTCATAAAACAAGCAATCAAGTCCTGTGAGCAATGCAAAGGCCCTCACACATTTACATCTCTTACACCCCCATGCAGAAGGGCTTGACAGAGGACCTCAGGCCGCACCCCCCACACCAGCACCAGGCCAGGGGACCTGAGGCTAAGACTATAATATAGGGGTGTCGAACTCAATCAGAGAAGGGGCCAAAATCTAAAATCCAGCCTAAATCGCGGGCCGAATGGTTTACTGAACAGTCATAAACTGTCATTGTGATGGAAACGCAGCGGAGTGCAGTGATGACAGCGCGGTGCGGGCCACATTGCAAGGCCTGGTGGGACGGATTTGGCCCGCGGGCCTTGTGTTTGACACATGTGCTATAATACATGCCTGGCTGGGCTTGACAGGGGACCTCAGGCCGTGCCCCCCACCCATGGGGCTTGATGGGAGACCTGAAGCTGCGCTCCCTCCTGGTGCTGGGCCGGGGGACCTGAGGCTCTGCCCCCCTAGCCTGGCCCAGTATGGTCTGACAGGGATCTCAGGCTGTGTCCCTCACCTAGCAGGGCTTGATGGAGGATCTCAAGGCACGCCCCTGGTCTAGACTGGGGGGACTCAGGCCATGCCCCCCGTCCTGGCGCTGGACCGAGGGATATGAGGCTATGCCCCCTGACTGGCAGGACTTGACAAGGGTTGGACTGGCCGGATCTGGATCTAGCCCAATGGGGAGGATGGCTCAGCCAGGCAACCTCTGCTGGGGACTAGAATGCCTCTCCTCCCTACAACTCCAGACCCGGGTGGAGGCAGGACTGAGCGGCCCCCCAGGGTTAGACCTTATCCCACCCAACACAGCAGTTCCATCTCAACAGCGCAAGCACTCTGAACATCCAGGGGGGCATCGCTATATCCGCCCTCCTAGCCTGCCTGGTTCGCCATGGATCAGACACCACTGCGCTCCAGGAGATTGGAGCCCTGCCCTGAGCAGGTACAGCTCCAAAACAACTGCATACAATTTAAAGAATGGCGCAAAGTGGGAAGGTATGCAGTTACTCCCCCTTTGGCCTTGCCACCTTCTTAGTGCCCCCAACACCCCAACCCCCACCAGTGCCTCCAAGAATAACCTCTGATACAGGGCTGCTGGCCAGAGCCCGCCCCTCCAAGGCCTGCAGAACCCTCTGCAAAGCTTCCATAGCTACAGTCCCAGGAAACAATCATGCCCTCCGCCCCCAATCAGCACCTGCTACCTGCCAGGTTACCCGTGGGCTTGAAAATAGCAATCCCTTCCCGTTCAGACAGTTACTTGATGAAACATTTCTAGGTTTATCAGATCAGAACCTCCTCATGACAACCCAGAGAGGTAGGGGAGGAGAGATGACAGCTCCCATGGAATATGCGTATGTATTCAGAAATGCAGCTCAGAGAGGAAGTGCCGAGGCCAGGGGATCCCAAGGTGCAGCACACGCCCCACAGGGGGGCAATTGGATTTTAAGTGGGGCAATTTGAGAATGAGTTACAGTGAATTTTTTCCATTTCTTATGGTTCTAGGATACACATCTACAGCATATATCCTGCATAATGAAGGCTAATAAATAAATAACCAAATGGAGAAATGACAGGTCACTATGATAAAAACTGACCACCAGGGGGCAGTCGGTCAACACAGAAACTGGCCCCTGGTGGTCAGTGTGTTCCCACAGCGGGAGGGCCACTCAGCCAGAAGCCGGGCTCACTGCTGGCCAGCACAGGGGCAGTGGTGGGAGCCTCTCCCGCCTCCCTGGCCGAGCTGAGGATGTCCCACTGACGGCTCAGTCCCACTAAACCATCAGTCCAACATCCCCATTGGTATTCCTGACTGGAGAGGGTGCAGGCCAGGCTGAAGGGCTCCGGGCCTCTATTCTATACATAAAGAAAGCAGATTGGTCTTTGCCAGGGGCTTGGGGAAAGGGAGGAATTCACTGCTGGCCTGCAGGAGGTTTCTTTTTGGAGGAGATAGAAACGTTCTGGAATTACACAGCAGTGAGCACAAAGCAGAACAATATGACTACACCAACAACCACTGAATTATACATTTTGTAAGGATAAATCATGTTTTCTGAATTTCACCTCAAAAAATGTGTGGACAAAAGTAATCTGCCTGCAAGACAGATAGAAACCATCTTTTTATGATCTGGCCTCAGAAGGCACAAAGCATTCCTCCCATCGGGTGCACCAAAGTCAGTCCCTCAGTCGGCCCACATTCCCAGTCAGGTTTTACACTATGTCACCAACACATTACCCTTTCAGTGTCACAGGGGAAGGTAGGACGTCAGTCTCCCATCACAGAGGAGGCTCAGGCTCAGAGAGCTCCAATACCTTCCCAAGGCCACAAGGACAAGGGGCCCTGGAACTCTCACTGGAACTAGAACCAGCTGACCCCAAACCTGTGCTGTTAGCCTCCATCAGGGGTGGGTTTTCACCCCACACATCTTTGGGAACCATGGACACTTGGGACCACCCCTCCCGGAACTTGTACATCATTTCTGGGGCTGGTTCCATACACCTGAGCGTTTTCATCTCCCCGGGTGTTTCCCAGGTGCACTCTGTATAGAGAACCACCCCCGGGTGCCTGAGGGCTGCATGCTATTCCCATGGCTAACCGGCTCCAGCTGGCTGGTGGGTGATTGGGGCAGTGCCCCTGCCCAGCTCCCTGGGACTGCCTGCCACTGTGACAGCACAATGCCTGCCTGAGGAGGGGGCCCTCGGGAAACACCATTGGACACAAGGACTCACAGCAAACCGCCACTCAGAACCTCAGCTGCCCAAGGGTTCCGCTGGAACTCAGGGGCGCACAGTTGGCTGGCGCTGGGGAGCTGGCCTGTCTGGCCTCTCCAGTGGCAGGAGGTCCCGGGCCCACTTGGTGGGCACGCCTGCTGCCGACTGGGCACCTCAGCTCGGCCCAGAGCACAGTTGGTAGGAGAGAACTCTCTACCCAACTCCCTCTCCCAGTTCCCAAACTCAGAGGCCCAGCACAGGGCCTAGAACCACTGAGGCTGCGTGGCTGGGGATTCACCATGGATCACCGAAGCCGATCTCACAGCAGACGCCTGGGCCAAACCCGTCGCACTCGGTCCCGAACCCCCAGAGCCCCGTTCCCCTGGCAAGTGGAACGGGGGGTCAGTGAACGAGGACAGGAGCGGCGAGAGCCCCCCAGGCAGAGGACTGCTGTCCACACGCCCCCGGAAAGGGAGGAGCTGCCAGACCATGTGATGGGTAAGGGCCAGCTCTCCCCTTCTCACAAAAGGGGGGTGGCTTCCTATCTTTCTTCCTGTTCCCACAGGAGACAGGGGTCAGGGAGCACAAAGCATACCTCTATGGACAGGCTGGGGTGGGGGTGAGTTTAGAAAGGGCACGTTCCTGTGGGCCTCAAAGGGCTGTCACAGGAGCAAAGCTATAATGTGTGAAAGTCACTTGTAACCCAGACAGGCTGCTGGTGGTGTTTACAAAGCCAAGTACTTACAATAGCAACTTCCATGAGGAGGAGCCTTGGGAAACAGATGAGTTTGACATGGACTTCCACCCCAGGTAGCTGACAATCTAATGGAGAAAAGGCAGACAGTTAGGGGAGCTTTTGAGGGATTCGGAAGGAGGACAAGGGCTTAGGAAGATGGGAGGGTCCTGGGACACAGAGACTGCCAATGGCTCCCGCCATTCCCTGTGGGCTGGGTCTCACCTCTCCTGCCCTGCCCCATCCTCACCTGCCATTCCAGCCAAAGAGTGAGGAATGGCGGATTGTCAGAGAGGGAACCACACTGAGCTGGGAGAAGAGGTAAGTTCTGGGAACTCACCCAGTGCTGATTTAAAACATAAGACATACCTTAAGGCAGACAGGGTGAGGTCACCAAGCTGTGACTTCCCGGCTGGAAACGGTCCTTTCCTGCTGGAAGAGAATACAGGGTCTTCAGATACTGCTTTTCAGGTTAGACTTTTCTTCTCCAGTTTTCCCAGGACTTAAAAGGGCTAAGGCCGTGCGGGAAGTCAGGGCACTGTTCACCCTGCTCAGCACAAGGAAAAGGAAAATAAACGGTAAAGGTATAAAAGGCAGCATTTCAGAGGCAGAGGGTTCATGTCACCTTTGGGGAGGAGGTAGGATGGTGTGGTGCAGAGAGGCTTTTATGCGCGGGTGCGGAAGGGTGAGAAGGATGTAACACAGGCTGCGTGCGAAGACCCCTCAGTGATGGCGGCAGGATCGGCTACCTTAATGGCGATAGGACCGGCTCCTGTAACGTTAAGTGTCCAAAAATCAGGACTTTTTTAAAACGCCACGGACGCCTGACAAATTGTTAAAAATTGGTACTGTCCCGCCAAAAGCGGGACGTCTGGTCACCTTACTCTTACTGCAATGGCCACAAGCGTGACAGGCCCGGCTCCCGTAATGGCGGCAGGCCCACCTGCTGTAATGGCGGCAGGACCGGCTCCCGGATGGCGGCAGGCCAACAGTAGAGTAGCAAAGGCGGGCGCTTTTGGGAAGAGATGGGCCTAGAAGGACGAGCCGGGCCTCACACAATGCTGACAGCTGGCAGAAGGGAGGGCAGGGGAGCGGAGACCCGGCACAGTGGACGCCATTACTGGGCCTCCCACCAGTTATGCTTCCGGGTGGCCGCGGACTGGGCATGCGCCTTTCGGCCTGCCCCCGGGGCGCATGCGCCAGCGGCTGTGAGGGCGGGGCACAGCGGGCAGGGCCAGGAGGGACACGTGTGAACAGGGCGGGTGTCCTGTCTGCCTCGAAGGGCCGTCGCAGGTGTAAGGATAGGTTCCTGGGAGATAAAGATGAATTCCACACCCACTTGGATCCCAGGGAGCTGGCAGGCTGATAGCCTTCTGTGGGATTCAGAAATAAGACAGCAGCTCCCAGGAGGATAAAGGGATTCTGGCCCCTATAATATGATAGGATAATTGTCATCAAATGGAACCATAATGTCCTGGGAGAAAGTCTAGGAACTTTTCAAGTCTTGATGGGAAAAACAGAAGAAAAGATACCTTGAGGCAGGCTTAGGTCACCTAAGTGCCTGGCTGCCCTTGCTTGCTGGAGAATAAATGATTAGACCAGTGGCATGCAAACTCATTAGTCAACAGAGCGGCAAACCAAGGCTCGCCAGCCGCATCTGGTTCGCGAGCCATAATTTGCCGACCACTGGATTAGACAGACCTTTCTTCTCCCGAGTTTCTCGGGACTTAAAAGATCTGCAACTAGCGGGGGTAGCCATGGCACTGTTCACAGATCACTACAAGGAAAAGACTGTTACAAGCATAAAATGCAGGCGGATCAGGGGCAGACAGGTTAGTTTCAGTTCGTTAAGGGGGATGGCGGGCGGTGTTGAGGCTTTTGGGAAGAGATGGCCGGGGAACCGTGCACAGGATGGAATCTTAAGGCCAGGCCAGTCACTGGCCTCTCCACAAACAGCTTTCGCTGAGGGGCTGCGCGCCAGACAGGTCTTCCCCAAGGCGCAGGCGCAAAAGCGGGCCGCTGCCAGCAGGCCACGTGGCAGGGCTCAGGGTTGGGGGGGGGGGGGGTGAGGGGACTGCGGTGGGAGTCGGGGCAGCCTGGAATCCGGCGAGCGGAACGCCGGGAGGGGGCGCAGGGGGCGGGGGGCGGGGGAGGGCGGGGCAGCTCTCGCGAGGCCGCGCAGGCTCGCGGCGTGACCAGCGCGCGATCGGCGCTGCCTGGCGGCGGGAGAAGTAGCGCTCGCGCCAAAGAACGTGCTTCTGCGCTCGCGTGGTCATGGAGGCGCCGGGGTTGCCTCCAGCCGCGAAGACTCCAGCCGCCAGCCGGAGCCTCAAGCTGCTGCTGCTGCCGCTGCTGCTGTTCCTGCTGCTGGCCCAGACCCTGCGGGGCTCGGAGGCGGAGGAGAGGCCCCGAACCCGGGAAGAGGAGTGCCACTTCTACGCGGGGGGACAAGTGTACCCCGGGGAGGCGTCCCGAGTGTCGGCCGCCGACCACTCCCTGCACCTCAGCAAAGCCAAGAGTAGGTGGTGCCCCGCCGAGGGGGGGTGAGCGGTGGCTGAGGGAGGCGGGAAGTTGGGAGGACCGGGAGACACGTGTGTCCTGCTTAGGCTCCCGGGGAGCCTGACTGGGGCGGCGCCCCCCACCCCCACCCCCCGCCCGGCCTGACTCTGGTCCCCGGGCCTGGCTCTTTGGGAGCAGGGCAAGGGTGGAGGGTTCCTGCTGTGAGAAAAGGATTGTTTCCATTAATCAGATTTTGTAAGTAGTGGTTACCCCAAAAGCCGCAGAAAAAGCAAAGAGGGTGGTCCAGGTCCCGGGCTTGCAGGCATCGGAGGATGTTGTGCAAACTGAAACACTTCCTCAAACATTGCAAAGCGGCTGCAGCCGATCGCGTCTGTTTCCAAGTCCTAGTCCAGGGAAGACTGGGTTAAGTTGAATAATGATTCATAGAAAGTTTGGTTAAACAGAAAATTGGCCAAACAAAATGTTCAGGAGAGCAAACATGTCACCTTTTTTCTTTGTTTTCATCGTATAAAGACTATGAAAAGCCCTTCCCCAAAGCCTATAATAAATGGGTATTCTTTGTGTCTCTTAGAAGTGAAGAACTTCTTACAGGGTGTGTTTTGAAGGCTCTTTGTAAGGAAAGGAAGAGAAAGGAGGTTCAACGTAATGTGTTTTGGTTGATGATAAACCTCCTGGCAAATTTGTGTCCTGCCAGTTTGGCTTTTGATTATTTACATTTCTGTCCAGTGTACACAGGTAATGGCCACTTTCAGGAAGGACACGTCAGGCTGAGATACTGAGAAAGCTATCGCCTGCTGCCTCTAAGATTAGCCAAAAAGAAGTGGGCAGGGACTAAAGGATAAAGACTGTCCCTTGCTTGCTTTTAAGTAACCTGCTTTTCCTACCGCATTCTGAAGATGTGTATTGTGGTTCAATTACACCATTTCTATGCCCATATTCAGTGAAAAGAGTGTGCTTCACAGTTACCAATCCTCAGTGTTAAGTGGGATGTTATAACTTAGGACAGAGTGGGAGTAATAAGTGAGAAAAACTGTTTTGCCTTCTTAAACATGTGCAGTTCCTTCCTCCTGAAAACTTGGATTTTGTGTAAAAAACCAGTCTCGCGCTGTTGTTGTTTTTTTAAACAACATGTGTATTAGGTATTTCGCAGGAGGCTTTAGCTGGGTTCTCTGCTCAGGATCTTAACAAAGTGCAGTCAAGATGTTGGCTGGGCTGCATTCCTTTCCAACATCATCTTCCCAACCCACATGGTGGTTGGCAGAATTCAGTTCTTGAGGTTAAGGACAGGGTCCCTGTTTTCTTCCTGGCTGTGACCTGGTGCCACGCTTAATTCCTAGGAACCAGCTGCTTGCAGTTTCTTTCTTTCTTTCTTTCTTTTTTAATATATTTTATTGGTTTTTTTACAGAGAGGAAGAGAGAGGGATAGAGAGTCAGAACCATCGATGAGAGAGAATCATCGATCAGCTGCCTCCTGCACACCCCCCTCTGGGGATGTGCCCACCACCAAGGTACATGCCCTTGCCCGGAATTGAACTTGGGACCTTCCAGTCCGCAGGCCGAAGCTCTATCCATTGAGCTAAACCGGTTTCGGCTGCTTGCAGTTTCTTTATTCTCAGGCCCTCTCACCGCATAGCAGCTTATTTTGTCAAGGCCAGCAGGGGAGAATCTTTGAGTCCCAGTCTTGCGCTTTTAAAATCACAGTATTTCAAAGTGTCGTTTGTTTCACTTACCTGGGAAGATCTTTTGAACTGTGTCAGGCATTGCATATTTCCCATAAGAAACAAATCCCATCCAAGTCTGCTCATAAAAGCAAAAACCAGTGGTAATAGATTTCCCTTGACCAGACAACGTCTTCACATGTTAGATATTTGCTACATCTCTGTGTCGTGTAGGTTCATCTAGAATTAAAGATACGAGGACTTTTATTCATAAAGTGGAATATTATTAAGGTCATACTTTAAAATAATTTTTAGTGACATGAAAACTGCAAATGATTTACTGTTGGTTTTTTTTTTTTAAAGGGCTGCAACAAGATCCAAATTTGTGTTTAAAGGAAAGACATCAGAACGTTAACAGTAGTTAAATTAATGGGGTTATGGGAAGAGGAGGTTTAAATATCCTTTATACTGCTTTGCATTTGCCGGAATCTGTTGCATGATTTATATTCAAGATTTCAATACACACAAGGGGTTGCTTTGGGGATTCTATTTATAGATCGTAGCAAAGTTAACTGCATTCTTTTTTTGCTCCACAAATTGATGACAGGTTTTTTTTCTTTGAATTAACTTTGTAATTCTTAAGAACCCAAAATTGTCAAACTCAGAATTTTGAGAACAAAATTTATTTCTCAGACTTGGTTGTCCTCATATGCTAGCATCATTAAGGAATAACAGGTCATTTATTATTCCTACCACAAATTTACTTAACATATCCTGTTAACCAACCCCATTGAGTAACATTTTCAGTAATGTATACAAAGCATGTATAGTTCAGTACCCTTCTACTAACTTAATTCCCCCCCCCTTGACCTTACCTAATCAGATCAGGATATTTATATGAGGTAGGCTGCTGACTCAAGACAAGTAATCACATGCTATATATTCACTTCACAGAGAAATTCATCTTAAGTTTATGTCTCTTTTCAGAGTGACCAAAAATGCTGGCTATTATACCAAATATAGTAAATGCTGGCTATTATGAGCCTTACTTTCTAGGAACCATAGTCAGACTTGGAAGCAAGGATTGACTTCCATATGTGTAATGGTTCTGAAAGTTCAAGTGTTATCTGAATGTAACAGAAGGTATATTCTCAAAGCATGTTGGCTAGAATTGCAGCATGCCCTTACAAGAGAGCAGCACCAACTATTCAATTTGCATTAGGTCACTTGAAACCTGTTCAGGGGGGTCTTTTCTTTCAAAGCCCTCTAGGAAAAGAATCCCATGGTCTGGGATTGTGCACTTCCGGCCTGATGTATTTGTACATTTCCTACTCTTTGAGTGTGGCTACAGGTCCTCCGTGAGTATGTGAGAAACTGGCCAAATGTTTAAATCAGTACACCTGAACTGAAACCGGTTTGGCTCAGTGGTAGAGCGTCGTCTGCGGACTGAAAGGTCCCGGGTTCGATTCCAGTCAGGGGCATGTACATTGGTTGCGGGCACATCCCCGGTAGGAGGTGTGCAAGAGGCAGCTGGCCGATGTTTCTCTCTCATCGACGTTTCTAGCTCTCTATCCCTCTCTCTTCCTCTCTGTAAAAAAATCAATTAAAAAATAAAATAAATAAATCAGTACACCTGAAAGACTGCCATTAGGGAAAGGCATACCTAATTATCTGAAATATATTAAGTTATTCAACTTGGAGGGGCTATAGTGAAGGATCCAGTAGAGGGTAGTGCAGGGATGGGATGTAGGGGAGGGGGTTCCTGTGAGCATGAATAGAATTAAAAGCATTGTCAATAACCTCCAACTGAAATTGAGCATTACTTTCCATTATAAACATCAGCAACAAACCACATTAGCTTCAGCAGGACTTGCTTGGACCTGTTGTCAATAGACCCCCAGGTATTTTCATGCCATATTCTGGTTGTTGGTTGTTACAGGTATCCTGAAACATTTACACTCTTCACTATTTTTGGTAGTTAATTAGATCACTGCTAGATCTTGCATTTTTAAAGTCTCAATATAAGGGAACATGTATTACCACATCACCAATATGGGTCTGTTGTCAAATTTTGATCATTTCATTTTAATATAATTTTTCTGCTTTGTAATTCTGTATATTTGATTTTATATATCCAATAACACTATTCTGAGAAGTATGTAAGCTTCACCAGACTGCTAAAGAGGTCCAAAGGTTTAGAACCCTTGATTTTCAGTAATTTCCTAAAGCTCTCCTCCTGTCGTCCCATCAGTTTTCTCAGTGTTATAAAACATCCTCTATTTTTCTTCCTTAGTTTCCAAGCCAGCACCTTATTGGGAAGGAACCGCTGTGATAAATGGAGAATTTAAGGAGCTCAAGTTAACTGATTACCACGGGAAATACCTGGTTTTTTTCTTCTACCCGCTTGATTTGTAAGTAATACATGTACACAGCAGCTAGTAAGACCTCAGTTATTACCAATCATTAATCAAGGTCAGGACTCGATCCCCAGCAGAGGGTGTGTAGGAGGCAGCTGATCAATGATTCCCATCATTGATGTCCTCTCTCCCTCTCTCTTCTCTGAAATCAATAAAAATATATAGTTTAAGAATAGTTTCTTTACAAAAAATAAGATAGGCTAGATTTGGCCTGTGGCTGAAAGTTTGCTGACACCTAGTCTATCCAAATGGGAAGGATTCTCAAAAAAATGAGTACATGGAGATAAATACAAGTCATGAAGCTACATAATACGTAACCTTTTAAATTAAGCTTGACTAGCTGAAATGTATAATCTAATTTCCAATAGAAACCAGAAGTTGAAGTCTTAATATATAAAAAGTATAGGCCTTCTAAATTCATGTTCTAAAACCAAAGTTAAAACGTATGTAAAATAAAACATTAAATCTGAATTCTGAAATTAGTCTAACATAGCAGACAAATACACTGTCTCTCCAGTGTTATTTAAAACTCCATAATGAATAAGACATAGCTAATTATGCATGATGCTAGCAATGGTCTCCTGGCTAAGATAGCTTCTTTCTGTTGTTACTGTATAAAGTCAGACAGGACCTAGTTAGATAAGGAAGAATTCTCAGGCATTTGCCACAGTCCATAAGGATGAAAGTCGCAAACAATCCTTCAGTTTTCTGCCAGACCCTTTTCTCTGTCTTCACTAATAAGTCAGGCAAATGTGTCTCTAAATAGCATTTCTTGGGATAACAGGAAGGAAGGCAGGGCCTGACCATACCTACATTGTGGAAAATATTAAAAATACACAGTATAGCCCAGGTTCCAGGGACATAGTCTAGAACTTTCTGCTTGCATATGACAGTCCTTCACTTGAACCACTGAAACATTTGAAAAGCCTATGTTGGGGGGTGGTAGGAACTTGGCCCCTAAATCTACATTTTTTTTAAACTTTCTTGGCCATCACACACCATAGGAAATAAATGTTTAATTGCTGCCCAATACACTTACACACACATAAACGGTAACATTCAGTCTGTATGCACCAGTACAGCCATGCTATACTGAAATACTGAAAAACTTCCATACCAGAGGGTAAATAGCCACTTTCTCAACCCCTTCCCCAAGTTGCTCCTCCTACCTGATCCTTTTTCGAAACCTCCAGCACTAAAGCCAATCTATATATATAAAAGGCTAAGCAATTGGCCCGTAGGCATGACATACATGCACTGACCACCAGGGGCAGATGCTCAACATAGGAGCTGCTAAGTGACAGTAACTGCAGAGTGCGCTCTTGCACTCCAGGACCCCTTGGGGCATGTCAGACTGCCGGTTTTGGCCTGATCCCCACAGACCAGGCTGAGGGACCCCGCTCACTCCGCAGACACCCTTTGAGCCCTGGCACCACCCCAGGTGTGGCCGGCCAGGGAGGGACCATGGGAGGGACCCAGTCTCAACCAGCCCTGCCCCGCCTGCCACTTTCTAATTAATTTCCTTTCAGTGTGCATGAATCCGTACACTTGGCCTCTAGTTTTGAAATAAGGTTGTTAAGTGTTTTTAGTATTATTCCTGAACACACACATATATGTACATGCACTGGTATATACATGTTTCATAACTTACCCTTACTGTGAAGGATGTATTCTCATATTTTCTAAAACGCTAATTGGAACTCAGTAAATTGACTTAATTCCTACCACAGCTTGAAAAACAATTCCCTAAGGTAATATTCTCTAAATAATACCCTTCTGACAACGGGACTTTATCAAAAAATAGAAGGAATGGGAGGGCATTTCCTCATTTCCAAAATCCAAATAGATGCATCTAGCTCATAAGGCTGGTATAGGAATGTAAAAATCATGAAATGTCAGATTTGTATAGATCCTTTGAAAGCTGTAAAGCATTTTAGACTACTCAATATTGAGAGGATTCTTATATAAAGTTGTTCTTAATGTGCATTTTTATATACTAAATGTGTTTGTAAAGACTTGAGTCATTTCAAAACTCGCATATATGTGTATTTTGAAAATACTGAATATATTTTCTTTTTACTTTCAGCACTTTTGTATGTCCAACTGAAATTATCGCCTTTGGTGATAGAATTGAAGAATTTAGATCCATAAACACTGAAGTGGTGGCATGCTCTGTCGATTCTCAGTTTACCCATTTGGCCTGGTCAGTATCTTACATTTACATTTGTAGGGGGGGAAATGGATTTACTTTTAAATTATTGGCAGACAACTCAACATTATAGGAATACAGTTATTTATCAGACAATTCAGATTTGTCTGAGTAAAGCTATTTCAATGAAGTTACATAAAAATAAAATTGAGGGGGAAAGTTCAATGCAAAAGATGTCCATAACAAAAACTATTGAGTTGCATGATTATTTTATTATGACAAATTTTGGGTAGCCTTCATCTGGGGGGGGAATGTTTAAAATACCATTTCTCTGTTATACAGTTGTATAGTATAAAGCCAAATTCAAAATAGCTTTTATAATTTTCCAGAAGCAATGATTTTTTATTTTAGAAATATTTTAATTACCGTATTTTTCGGACCATAAGACGCTCCGGACCATAAGATGCACCAGTTTTTAGAGAAGAGAAATGAAGAAAAAAAGATTCTGAAACAAATAGTGTCCTAAAATATTTTATGTGCATTAAAACCCAACATCACAGTCATAAACACATGTAATCAACCCTGTAAAGTAAACAGCAGCATTTAGAACCATTTTAGAGCCGGGCAAGCACACGGAGACCACACAGAGCTGGGCAAGTAAAAAAACTTTTTTTTTTAAAGTATATGTGTAGGCTATATTTGGACCATAAGACGCAGGGACTTTTCCCCCCACTTCTGGGGGGGAAAAAGTGCGTCTTATGGTCCGAAAAATACGGTAATTGTTTCACCTAATTAATTGCAAGTTAAAGTTTCAAAGGTGGGAAGAAACAGCATTCCCAAACACACAGGTGGTTCAGCATTTCTGGAAAATAGTTGGGTAACATGTTTCAGAATCTGAAATGTGTGTGTTGATGTGTTCTTAATCATGTCCACAGTTTTTTGCACAAAATGTTATGCATGGTAAAGACTGTTCATTGTTTTAGCCGAAACCAGTTTGGCTCAGTGGATAGAGCGTTGGCCTGCGGACTGAAAGGTCCAAGGTTCGATTCCGGTCAAGTGCATGTACCTTGGTTGCAGGCACATCTCCAGTGGGGGAGGAGGGATGCAGGAGGCAGCTGATCGATGTTTCTTTCTCATCGATGTTTCTGACTCTCTATCCCTCTCCCTTCCTCTCTGTAAAAACTCAATAAAATATATATAAAAAATAATTATCACTATAAAAAAACTTAACATTAAATTCATAGAGTAACAAATTCAAAACAAGTTTTCCTCCATTTACAATTATGTGTACATATAAATTATATGTGCATGTATATGTATATAAAACTAAAATTTTAATTGGTTCAGGAGCCACAACTTATTATAATTTAATTTATATTACCTTAAGTACTTAACTCTCAAGTATTTTTTAAAGCAACTATATATTTTATTTTATTTTCCTTGAGTATCCCAAAAATATAAGCAATTCTTGCAATCTAATAAATAGATGTGGTGCATCTTAAGTCCTTTTAAATTGTTTCGTTACTATTTGTAAACTGAATAAAATTTCAATTTACACATTTTAAATTGGAATCAGAAGGTATATGTTATTCTAATATGCCAAATGCTCTTAAACATTATAAATAACTCATTATACAAATAGGTACTAATTATTTCTCAATGTAAGAATATTAAAACTATGGGTTTAATTTGCTTTATCACTTCTATAGTTAATTCTGTATCTCCATATGATTAAAACAAATCCACTAAGGGAAAACATCTATGCCATCCCAAATAATTTGGGATTGTCTTTCCAAGGAATTCTTGGGTATGCATTCTCAGCTGGATAGGTTTCATGTCAACCAGAGATTTCTACTTGGATGTCAGAACTGGAGCTGCAGACATGGGGAGCATTATTTCCCTGTTTGCTGGCTGCTATGTCAATGTCTTCCAGTTGGGGCACCAGCCCACATCCCCCCGTTTCAACTTAAAGAATACTTAAATCTCAAAACTTATGTGTCTGAGATTATAACTAACCTCCTTCACTGCTGCAAGTAGACTGCATTTCTTTGTCTCTCAGAATATTAAAATATCCCATTGTTTGCCTGACTCTCAAGGAATTGCCTGATGATCACAATTCTAAGGTTATGCTTATGACAGTGTCTATTCTTTATGCATTAATTCTACTTTTAGAAATTAATCAGACAAGTGTATAATGTTAAGAGTACAAGGATGTGCCGAAGCCAGTTTGGCTCAGTGGATAGAGCATCGGCCTGGGGATTGAAAGGTCCCGGGTTCGATTCTGGTCAACGGCATGTACCTTGGTTGCAGGCACATCCCCAGTATGGGGCGTGCAGGAGGCAGCTGATAGATGTTTCTCTCTCATTGATGTTTCTAACTCTCTATCTCTCTCCCTTCCTCTCTGTAAAAAATCAATAAAATATATATTTTTTAAAAAGAACGCAAGGATGTTCCCAGCAGTGTTTATAAGAGGAAAAAAAAATTGAAGCAATTTAAATGTATGTCGGTAGAGATTAGTAAAATGTGGTATGTTTATACATTAAAAATGTGATGTGTAGCTCCATATTTAGTATTTAAAGGATATGAATATATTGTTAAGTGGGGGAAAGGGCAAGAAAATAGAATGCATATTAGCCTGTCTTTTTTAGAGAAAGAATGGGTGTGTGGCGTTTGTCCATGTGTGTGCACATGCAGAGAAAAAGTGCTGTTTTGATATATGCCATTTACTTGACTCTAAGAGGTAAATGTTCTGTTTGT